CAAACTTAATAATACAAATCAAAATATTTTAAAAAAAGTTGAAATTCTTAGTTCAGGTATATTATTTTCTTAAAAGATAAATTAAAAGCTTTTATCGATAAGGAAAATGATGTGCACCTCTTCTTAACATTTAAGATATTTATATTTTATTTGACTCAAAATGTCATAAGACAACAAATTATAGAGTATAAATGCTTAATTCAATGAATACCATAAATTTTAGTTATATAGAATCAACCAGTATTAACTATGGAAATTACAGAAATAAAGTGACCCTAAACCCAAAATATCAACAACACTTATTTGAGAGTGGGTTATGAAGGTTTTCATTTCTTTTGTTCTTGAAATTCAAGAGCCTTGAGATGTAGATCATTCATTACTTATTATCAAATATTTAGCACTCTCAAATCTAAAATTTAGTTTCCATCTATACCTCTTAATTTTGTGTGATCATGTATATTCATTTAGGAATGTATTGTTTCTTCATACATAATTTTTCAGATAGTAGATATTTTCTATTATGTTAATCTGGCGATAATGAGGAAAGGCCTTTTTAGAGTAATACAACCTTATTTCCATAGTATTCCTTTAGTAAATTGCCTTGAGTAAATTTACAAATATTCTAATTTTTATAGGAAATCCTGTGTTTTCACTTTACAATAAGTACATATAAGTTTAATCTAAAATTTCATATCTTGTTATTATCTTTTGGAATCAGTGTCTTCAGTTTTATATCAATAACTTCACCATCATACAACCTGGATTGCCCTTTTCATCTTACATAGTAATATTTAGAAATTTATTCCGATTTATAAAAATTCTCTTAAAATTCATTAAACATATTATAAATAAATTGTAAACCAAGTACTGATATAGCATTAAACACTTTAAAGCTTTAGATGTTCGGTCTGAACACATGATACAAAATATCCATTCAATTTGCATAGATTCCATAAATATAGATGCGAGCATGTACATCAATTTCAGTACCATAAACATATAAGAAATTATCTGTTTGTTTTAATTTTTTCTATCTTTTGAAGGATTTGTTAATTGAAATTTGGTCTCTTTTTTTTTTCATCAATAATCGAAAGGATATAGATATTTCTCAATAAATAATAATTTTTTGCTTTATCTTAATAGTAGATATTTAGTCTTCAACAAAACTATGTCTAAAGTTTTGGACCATCATTTACACAAATTAAATCTTAAATATCATCATTTTGAACTAATATGTTAATGTTTTGTAACAGAGTAAATTAATTTAAAAAATTTCGTCGATGATGTCATAATCGGCTTGTTTCGGGAATCCATTCCCTGAGGGACAGCGATAGACTTAGAGTAGACAAGATGACGTTAAGGAGAGCGGCGATTTAACCAAGGGATAGAGAAGAGTTAGATTTAAAAAGGAGCCCCTAATCAATAAACCGGCCGGGCCTAGTAGCCAGGAGGAAGATGTTGAATTATCTATCATTAGCTGGAACATACACAATCAGAACCCCTATGGATTTAGAGAATAATTCTTTAATGGACGAGTGGATGGGTGAGAGATTACAGC